TATTATTATCATCATTATTATTATTATTGATCTTGGATTTTTACCTAGGGTTTGGGTTCTGTTTTGTATTTCTTGCTCTCCAGTTCTTCTTGGTTTGCAATTTCTTGTTCTTAGGTTTTGGTAACTATGTCCTTGTGTTTAGTGTAGGTTTAGTTCAGTGTCAAGTTTTTGCCTGTCGTGTTTCAGTTTTTACTTTGCACGTCAGTTTCTCATGTCTTTGTTTCTAGTCTAATTAGTTTTGTTCTTTTTGCTGACCAGCATTAAAAGCTGAGTTTTGAGATACATTTTGGGTCTTTCTTTTCTGCCTTCTGCACACAGACCATGACAGGCCAGTCACTTTCTTTCCAGGCTCCTTAAAATGGTTAAGAGCATATATTTTGATTCTGATTCTCTTTTAGTTCAATAAAACTTCGATTCAATTTTATCTGCCGTATTTTTTGCACTATGAGGCGCACTTAAAATCCTTTAATGATCTTAAAAATCGACAGCGCGCCTTATGTATGAACTCTGGTTGTGCTTACTGACCTCGAACTGAATTTGTGTGGTACACGGCATGCAGAAATCTGTCAAAAAATGTTCTAGTACAACTTTGGTAAGCTATGAAGGCGCACTGCTTGATGGATTGCCAAAGCATTACAGCTACTGTAGTCAGGAGTCTTGCGGAGTAATCTGGGTCAAAAACTCCATCTCCTTCAGGTCCCAAAGGCAAATGAACACTGTGGCATCACTGAGAGTTAAAAATTGTCTAAATTCTTTCATAGTTAATAAAATGATCAGTGTTGCTGCTTTACTAAGTCTAACAACTAAGTTTAACATCCAGGAATCCATAAAAACATAATTTATGAAATTTAATGGAGTTACAAGTTAGCAGGAAGTTAGTTTCGACCTAAACATGACATAATATGTTCTGACAGAGATTTCTGAAAAAATTAAAAAATACAGCTCTGCCCATGTCACAAATATAGTAATATAGTGTATTCTGTTAATTGCTTGGAGGACTGCCGCACACTCCTTCAGCTTGGGCTTCGGGGACTGTGACAATTAGTATAACTCAGTGATGTTGATTCAGTTTATTAAGTCTAGTTACATCTGTAACCCTCAACCTGCTGCCCCAGCACGCAACATCATAGCATATAGGACTGGGTGCAACTGACTTGTAGAAAATCTCTGGCCCCACGGAGGAGGGAGGCTCAAATGGTGGAAAAGATTGTCAAAGAGCTACTGGAGGGGTTTACGGCTGGGAATGCAGAATGGGTCAACCACCACATGGGGGGTGGCTGTAGATCAGGAGGTAGAGAAGGTCATGTGCTGATCGGAAGGTTGGTGGTTTGATCCCTGACTCCCCCAGTCTGCATGCCAAGTCTCCTTGGGCAAGATACTTACCCCCACCTACTTTCCGATACACCCATTGAAGTATGAATGTGTATGAATGTGAATGTTAGAAAGCACTGGCAAGTATACAAAACAGTGTTTGTGTGAATGGGTGAATGTGGTGTGTTGTATAAAGCGCTTTGAGTACTCCAGGAGAGTAGAAAAGCACTATACAAGAATCAGGTAATGGTAATTTACCATTTACAATTTGCTGGCCAACCTGAATAACACTCAGAAGTGCAGTCACAAGATTACCAAGCCAGACAGCGGGAACCCAATCCCTGCCCCACAAATGAAGAATCTTCAAGTGGTGTTTACATCTTGCCCCACTGCTGCAGAACAACAGGTGAGTTTACCCTGTCTTCTGCTGTCTCGGAGGCTGTCTGAAAGCTGGGAAGCGTATTTTAATTGGGGCCCCTAATTGGGAAAAACTTCCTTTTAACAGGAAGAAACATCCGGCAGAACTGGGCTCAGGGAGGGGTGACCATTTGCCGCAACTATTTGGGGTGAGCATAGGAAGACAGGACAAAAGACATACTGTGGAAGAGAGCCAGAAATTAATAACAAGTATGATTCAGTGCAGATAGGTCTGTTCACACATAATGAGTGAGAAAGGTGACTAAAGAAGAAATACTCAGTGCATCATGGGAATCCCCCAGCAGCCTACACCTATTGCAGAATTACTAAGGGAGGATTAAAGGTTACCTGATCCAGACCTAACCATAGAACAGCACCAAGCAGGACAGACAAGATCTGCAAAGAGTGGTGCACTCAGCCAAACGCATCATTTAATCAGAGCTTCCTGACCTGCAGTCCATCTACACCAAGTGGTGCAAGAACAAAGCCAGGAAGATTATCATGGACCTCTCCCATTCCAACAGTGGACTCTTCTCACTGTTGAGGTCTGGGAAGCGCTTCCGCTCCCTTCAGGCCAAACCAGAGAGAATGAGGAGGAGCTTCTTCCCCCAGGATATTCAGGCCCTGAACCAGGTGTAGGACTGGAGTTGCATACAATACGTCACTGCACGCACTCTGTTTATTTGCTCACTTCTTATAATTTCTCTCTTAAATTGTTATTTGCACATAATTTTTTAATTTAAATTTCTAAATTTTGTCATAATTTGTAAATCTGCAAATCTGTAAATTCTTCACTGTTGTTTAATGGTTGTGGTTTGCACAGCAGTAAGCATTTCACCACATGTCGTACTGTGTATGTTTGTGTGTGTGACAAATTAAATTTTAAAATTTGCAGTTGTCTGCAAAATTATCCATACATAACTAGTAGATTTTTTCAGTGTCGACCATGTGCATAAAATAGTAAGGCAAAATAATAAGGCAAAATAGTGAATAAATAAATTACTATGATTATGTCAAATAATCCAATTTAATAATGTTATTTAATAAGAAAATAAAATAAAAATAGACATTTAGAAAGATTGATATTTACAGTTTCTCCTCATTATCTTTAACTGTTGTTGGTCATTTTTAAAAGAAAAATAATCTTGATCTGACCTGATAATTGTTGAGTTTGGAGTCTTCAGTATGTTCAATGCTGAATCCTGCAGGTTGTTGTTACTCAGATCAAGCTCTCTGAGACTAGATGATTGTGTGCGGATAACTAAGTACAGAGCTTCACAGCTTGAATCTGACAGGTTACAGCCATTTAGCCTAAAAAAAATTTTAAACAGAAATTAAAAAAAAAAAACCCCACTGGTGTTAAAGTACATTTACAGTGCAACTAGATTTGGCAATATTAAATGTTTTTCCTGTTGATTCATCAATTCTGTCTTAATCATTTAGCCACATTAGCCATGTTAGATGTTTGAATAAAAAACACAAAGATAAAAAAGCACATGGATAAAGTTCAGTCTCTTGGTGATATTTTTTTACTGAATCGTTGACAAAAATGTAAATATCATCTGATCTGACCTTAGAATTTCCAGTTTGCAGTGTTGATTTGCTACTCCAACACACAGAAGTTTCACTCCTGAATCCTGTAGGTCATTATTACTCAGGTCCAACTCTCTCAGACAAGAGGACTGGGAGCTCACAACTGAGGACAGATCTTCACAGCTTGTCTCTGTCAGGTTACAGTCAGTAAGTCTGAAAATTATGAACGCAAAGACAAATAACACAGTCATTAATATGTATTCATTTTGCAACAAGGAGTCACTAGATTTGGCAATATTTTTTTTCTGTTTGTTAATGAATTCTGACTTGAGTATTAGTTAGAAATTTAAATTTTTTACTAAGATCACAAAGACACAAAAGCACATGGATAAATTTAGCTTCCTCGTATTTTTTTTTACTAACAATCACTGACAAAAAATTAAACATCACTTGATCTGACCTTAGTGTTTCTATTTTGCAGTGTTGACTTGCGACTCCAACACACAGAAGCTTCACTCCTGAATCCTGTAGGTCATTGTTGCTCAGGTCCAGCTGTCTCAGATTAGAGGACTGAGAGCTCACAACTGAGGACAGAGTTTCACAGCTTCTCTCTGAGAGGTTACAGCCACTCAGTCTGATAAGACAATAATAGGAAACAAGACAAAATCATTCGTTTTTCTGAGAGATATCAGAGGATTTATTTATAGCGATATAGCTTCGGGTAGGGTTGATCGGCACAGCTTCAACTCAGTCATTCTTAAATAACCTCCTATTGATTCATACAATGAGAAGCAGCCTCAGCCATACCAGATTGGAATCTGAAAAACCAATGAAACACATGTTTCCATCGTACACATTTGCTGTGCCATGCTATTCAACTCAGAATTACACAAAGTGCAAAGCACTTAAGCTTTTCAACCCCATTGCCCCTTGTACTAGGGGTGAGCATTGCATTTCTCACTTGCTTTTTATGCAACATTCTACCATTTGTAAAAAGCTGTTGTCTGGTGTTGGTTTTTTTGTTTTTTCCAAAACCAACCTTTGACAAGAAAGCCTAATTTCTCAGATGCAATACCAAATACCAGCCAAAAGAAAAAAAAAACTTTTTTGGGTTTTATATTTTTTGGGGTCTGACTTCGCAATTGCAAATAAATATTCAATATGATTTGGCAATGTGTCTGCTATGCACTGAGAAAGACTGGTGACACGTCCAGGGTGTACCTTGCCTCTCGCCCTATGGTAGCTGGGATAGGCTCCAGTTCGCAGTTTGTGAGCAAAGTACTCTAATAGGATGATGGCACTAAAAGGACATTAAGATAAAATGGGGCCTAATTATTCAAGACCTTGTATGTGAGGAGCAGGATTTTAAATTGTGGATTTAACAGGGAGACAATGAAGAGAACCCAATAGAGAAATCTGCTCTCTCTTTCTAGTCCTAAGTACTCTTGCTGCAGCACTTTGGATTAATTGAAAGCTTTTTTGAGTTTTTTGAGATGCTGATAATAACAACTCGCAGTAGTCTAGGATAGGACCCAAGACATGCTTGGGTTTGGGAAC